TATATATATATATATATATATATAGACACGTTCACAGTATAATCCCCTTCTCCTGACATTGTTTCATGATCTTTGTCTCTCTTTTGAGAGTGGGTACTTGCAAGCTTCGCCCTACACAAGCTTTCATTCTTTTTGCCTTTAGCTTACCATCAGTCAGATTTTTTTCTCGATTTTTATGTCCTTCAGATATCTGTTAATCCTATCCATTTATTTCCCCTACCTAGTTTTTCAGCTTTGTATTACTCTATCTACTCTTCTACAGATAATGTTTAATTTACACTTCATTTCTTAGGTGTTCCACCTATATTTGGGGATTTTTGTGACATACTTCCTCCTCCTTCCCTCCATGTTGGAGGATTTGCCATCTCCAGTTCTTTCCCTCCACACGTGGCTTCTTTACTTTTGGACATTCTTGGGTGGGATACTACTGTTTATTTACCATCCACTGCTAATAGCGACTTAAGATCAGATCTTTTTCTCCATAGGTCCATTTTTCGGGCTTCTACTGTACATTTAGCATTACATGGGGTATCTGCCATGCTATATACCATCTTTGATAGGTTGTTTAGGCAGAATATTCATAATGAATCTAAGTTTCAAATGGACAGCAATTGCCTGTTGTAGAAACATACAAGTGTAGAGGACAATGTTTTGAAAGTCTTCCACCTTTGTCTTCAGGTCAGTGTGTTTGTGTGTGGTGTAGTTTGGTCTTTATAGTGTTTTAGTGGATTGTGGAGAGCATGTTATGATTGGATTGGTTGGTTAAAACACATTTCTGATTGGAGGAGAGACTTCCTGTAGCCTCAACCAATGGTAGCCACAGTTTACTCACCTTTAATCCTGAATCTCTGTTTAGTGAAGCTTTTATTGTGTTAATGTAAAACAATTCTTTAATTTTTCTTGTCATCCAAAATTTGTCTGTGTCAATGATTATAGCTTTTTCCCAGTTTATGTTGTGTCCAGTTGACATGGCCTGTTCTGCAATGGCTGAATTTTTTGTTTTCATGAGTCTTGTGCTGTCTTTATGTTCCTTTATTCTTGTAGCGAGTTTTCTTCCCATTCCTCCACTGTCACAAGTGTTGTCGTTCCTCCAGATTCTTCACCATTCCTTCTCTCCCCCCCCCTCTTTTCTTATAGTGGAGTTTGGGAGTCCTTACCACTTTTCAGTTCCAAGCCACTGAGGTGGTGCACCATGGAGGTATCCCTGAGAGGATGAGAAACAGTATATAAAATAAACCATTCAGTTGTGAGTAAGACAGTGGTGTTCTACTGGTATTCCTTGTACCCTTCTTAAAATCTTTTACTGTGAATGAATTTACAACACCTGACTGAACTCCCCCCCTTAAAGATCACGCAATCTATAGCTTAGATATTACTTCTCTTTTTACTAATATTCCCCTGGAAGAAACCATTAATATTACACTTACTAATCTCATCGCTAAAAA